AATAATTTTTTTTTACCTGTTTATTTACAATTTACCTGTTTATTTACAATTAAACAGCTTCAAATGAACATATTTAGTAATTTTTTTTAAGGTGTGTGTGGGGGGGGGGGGGTATAAGGGATAATCCCTTATTATGGTGGGCATATCCCTTATTTTCACATCCCAATGTTGACAGGTATGGGCTCAGCCCTGCTTAGATTCAGTGAATAAACAGTCTTGGGCTGCAGGGTGAGATGGCTGTGGCCTCCCATATAAATGCACTTATTGTGTTCATGCATGTTTTTACACTGTACTTCTATTTAAAAAAAACATGTAGTAACATCTGCTATTAGCTTACCAACTGCATAGCAACACACTTGCAAGTATCATGAACGCCCTAGCCAATGTCTTATAATTGCATACAGTCAATGAAGGATAAACCTTTAGCATCAACCTTTAAAAAATACTTAAAACTATTGAGTGTGAAATATATTGATGTAGTGTCTTTGACGTCACATGCAGGTTCCTGAAGAGAGCAAATGAAGCTACAAGTGGGCACGTGGGGGAACCTGCAACCCTCTACACAGATTGTTTTTTATTTATTGTAATTTATACAGTAGCTTAATTGTGTATAAGTTTCTATGCTTCTCAAAAGGTGCGACTGAAGTACCCAGAAAATTGCAGAAAAAGTAGCAGATACTGAAATGTAAGCAGTCAATTTAACAGTTATTTAAACTGTAAACATACATAGAAATTAGGGCTGCACGATATTGGAAAAAAATTACATTGCAATATTTAGATTTTCTACTATTTATTTTGCAATATTTCATGGGATGAATTGAATAGCTCTTTTGGGGGGGGAAAAATATAATATAAGGTTGATAGGCATGATTTTGTCAAGTAGTGCATCTGCATAAAATATAATACAAGCAAATTACAAGCATCAATAATTACAGAGCAAATATACAAATGGAGTATAACATTTACATTTAGTCATTTAGCAGACGCTTTCATCCAAAGCGACTTACAAATGAGACAGTATTAAGTAAAAGAAATAAAATAATCAAATGTACGATAAAGCTGTATTGTCTTCATTGTATAAATAATTAAATACAATGAATCTTTGTCTACAAATGTACAGTCCAAATGTGTTAAACTCGCCTAAAATGTTTATATAGGTTTTAAAAACACATGCAATTGATTAACTTTGACTTTATTATGGTTAAACTTAAAAGACTCCAAAATTCTCTTGTGTTCTGAACTGTTGGACCTGGTCAACTGTAATCCTGACTCTACATTGCATGTCAAGCGATGTGACTATTGCATATTCACACATTGCGATATCGATGTTTAAACGATATATTGCGCAGCCCTATTAGAAAAACTTACTTTTGTTTCTTGTACGTTCAGTAAAATAATAATGTTAGATTGGAATATACACACATTTAGAAAAAGTCAGGGTATTCTAGTTTTATGGGTTTTATTTTAACCCAAAATTTTAAAATGGTCAAAATGTCTCAGTAGTGGTTAAACTTATTTAACAAAACCTGTCCTTAACCTTTTTTATGTCATTAGCAGCACAATGACTTTTCAGTACAGTAAATCCATTGTTCCAAACCCTTAAAAAAAAAAAAAAGAACAATGTAAAGACAGCTAATATAAAATGTAACTTGAAGAACTGCGTCTCTTAAACGTCACTTTGGATAAAAGAATCTGTCTAATGAATGAATGTATTGTGAAACTACCCGTTGTTAGTAACAAGCACTTATTAGAGGACCTACTCAAGCTTGTTGGTCAGTCCAATTTCCCTGTTTTATACACATGGATAAAGTTTTTTTATTTTCCAGCATTGTGTTTACAAATTAGCCCTTCATTTCATGCTTGGGAAGAGCAGGCAATGGCAGACGCACTGTCCGACCATTATCTGGCTGAGGTAAATGATGAAAACGCAGACTGCTGATGAAGGCAGCCACATAGATGATTGGCCCCAACGCCAGCTTATTCCCTTCAGCACATTTTCAATTAAACCTTTTTGGCCAGTGAGCAATTAACAGCGGCCAGCTACGAGACGTGTTTCTCTGCCTTCCATAATCACTCATTGTCATAATGATGCATGGCCAGATCAAATTGTTTGGGATGACAAAAGCTTGTACTGGCCTTTATTCACTGCATCTTATTCAGGGGACCAGAGGAGGTGAATACATCACCTCAGGAAATCGAGCGCTCGTAAATCTTGTTGTAAAGACGCTTATCCTCATCCAGATTCAGACCAAAGGTGGCTTTTGTGGAGTCAGGTTTTATTTATTGCTTTTGACTCGTTTAGTTAAGGCTTTTGTGCTTGAGAATAAATAATTATTTGTGCATTATTGTGATTTTACATTGTACGGGTGTGAGAAGTGTGCTAGGAGGTAAGGTTCATTTGTTGAGGGAAGTATATATTTAAATATATATATATATATATATATATATATATATATATAAATATATATATAAATATTCACTGGCCACTCTATTAGGTACACCTTACTAATATCGGATTAGACCCCCTTTTGCTTTCAGAACAGCCTTAATCCTTCATGACATAGTTTCAGCATGGTACTGGAAATATTCCTTTGAGATTTTGGCCCAACATGATAGCATCATGCAGTCGCTGGAGATTTGTCGGCTGCACGTCCATGATGCGAATCTCCTTTTCCACCATATCTCAAAAGTGCTCTATTGGATTGAGATCTGGTGATTGTGGAGGCCATTTGAGTAACGAGTAGTTATTTGAGTTACTGTTGCGTTTCTATCAGCTGGAACCAGTCTGGCCATTCTCCTCTGACCTCTGGCATCAACACGGCATTTGCGCCCACAGTACCGCCGCTCACTAATTATTTTCTCTTTTTCTGACCATTCTCTGTAAACCCTGGAGATGGTTGTGCGTGAAAAACCCAGTAGATCAGCAGTTTCTGAAATACTCAGACCAGCCCGTCTGGCACCAACAACCATGACATGTTCACAGTCACTTAAATCACCTTTCCTCAGCATTCTGATGCTCGGTTTGAACTGCAGGATTTCAGACAAATGAATCCTGATTTTAGAATTATCACCTCGCAGTATAATCAGAAGTACTGTAAAGGTTTTCTCTATATTCCAGTTAAGCTAGTTTTAGTAAAAAAAAAGATAAAAAGCAATCTGTTGGAGATTGTTTTTTCAATGTTTGAACTAAAAAATTAAAACAATTAGTCTTACACATCCAACAGGACTAGACACAATTTTGTATTTATTTAAAATGTAATAAAATGTAGCTTTATTTCATATTCTTTAGTAAATTTCAGTGAGTTCATATCAGAATGAGTATCTTATTTAATATTTACTTAATATTATATTTTCAATAGATTAGGAATAAACATTATTTCTGCTAGATTCTGCCTTTTTTCACAAACATGAAATATAAATACAGGTGCAGTCAAAATTATTCACTCTCCTGTAATATTTCTTTTTTTTCTTTGAATATTTTTCAAATGATGTTTAACAGAGCAAGAAAATGTTCACAGTATGTCTAATAATATTTAAATCAATTTTTAAAAAACATTTTAAGGTCAAAATTATTAGCCCCTTTAAGTAATATTTTTTTTCTGATAGGCTGCATAACAAACCATCGTTATACAATAACTTGCCTAATTACCCTTACTTACTTTAATTAACCTAGTTAGGCCTTTAAATGTCACTTTAATCTGAATGCTAGTATCTTTAAAAAATATCTAGTTAAATATTATGTACTGTCATCATGCCATGCAAATTATTTCATTTAAAAATGTATCTTCTGTCTGATAAACAACAGAAATTGGGAAAAAAACAAACAGGGGGCTAATAATTCTGACTTCTACTGTACATAAACACACTCAAAACCACTTGCAATGGATGAGAAGTCATGCTAAATGTATTTGATATTATATCAATATTAATACATGTTATATACATATGAATTTAGTGATTGTGAATTTAGATGTTGGTGTTGCTGATTTCCAATGTGAAGTGTAAACTCTACATCAAATCCATTTAGGAACTCAGCTCAGAACCAGTTTTTCCAAATCAAGACTCTTGATACCCTGCTTTTGCTTGGGTGACTTGTGTGGTCAGTTTGAGGAGAAGTTAGAAACATCAATCGATTGTTTTAGACGTTTGTGCTACTTTAGATCTAATGCCAGCATTGTCTCAGAGAGAAGGCAGATAAATCTTTAGTTTTAATAGTGTCTCTTAGTTCACATGCCAGAGAGGCAAAATGAAGCCGTAATTACAAGTCTTAATTGATGTGTTTTTACCTTGATAGACCATAGCTCTGCTCTCCTTGCTCTTTTCAGACTGTGGCTTGGCTTGCTGTTGTTTGCTCTATATTTCTCTGCGTATTGATTGCTATTATGGCAAATCCAATGGGCACAATAGAACTCTATCAGCAAAATACAGGTTAATTATCTTGAGGTCAGGCGGTCTCAGATGCACACAAAGGGCTTATCCTCTTCACACATTACAACCTAACATTAAATCGTGAGCACAAATTATCACCAAGGTTTTTTTTTTTTTCATTCAGCAAATGAACTGGCGAAGGGAAGGAGGGCAGTGTTTAACCATCGACATATGAGATGTTTGGCAACTTTTGTTCTCTTTTGAAAAAGCTATTTACTCTTTATAGTCCAAACGATTATTTTGTGCTTTATGGCACATATTAGGTCATGATAAATGACTTCCAGTTTGAGCGAATAGCCAGAAATTGTTTTCCCCAATTGACTTTCTCCTCGTATATAAACACAGTCTTTCTCCTGATATAAAGGTTTTTCTCTTCTCTGGTGCCAGAACAGACAGTGCAGACCTTTGACTGAAGGCAAAAAGTGATATTTTTGCTAAGTGGAGTGGGAAGCTGTCGGACGTTTTACTTATGCCTGACTGATTGGCCTTATAAGCGGCAGAGAGGCCCGTCAATGAGCTTGAGTTAATGGCATTGATTGTGGATATTGTGCTTTTTTCCCCGGCTCCTGCAGGGACTCCAGTGAATCGGATTCCTATCATGGCCAAGCAGGTGTTGGATCTCTACACTCTCTACAAGCTTGTCACAGAAAAAGGCGGCTTAGTGGAAGTCATCAATAAGAAAATATGGCGCGAGATTACCAAAGGCCTGAACCTCCCTACCTCCATCACCAGTGCGGCTTTCACTCTCCGAACGCAGTGAGTGAGATAACTTCACACGCCAACAACTTGTTGATAACTGCCAGCTGATTCTTGTCTGTCTTGTCCAATTCAATTATCTGCTTTTAAAATAGAGAGAGTGGAGAGGCATTTCCTGAGAGTGTGGGTGGCAGAAGAAAGACTGACTACACTCTAATAAATATCTGTTGATTAACATGTTTCATTTTTCATGATTCGCTGTTTTTTTCTGTTTATTTATGCCTGTGAATTGTATCATGGGATGTTGATGTCTGCTCTGTCGACTTATGATGATAAAAAATGTTTTAAAAAATGCATTTTATCCAAGGGATTATTACTAAAGTTTTAGTGATTTAAAACAAAATATTGTATATTAAATAATATATAGAAAATTAAGTAACAGATTTTTTTTGTACCATTTATTTACAATATATCACATCAACTATTAGAAATGTCATCAAAGTCACTTTTTTAAAAATGTTCGCTATCAAAAGTTGTTGGAGGAAAGATCAAGGTCCCACAATGCAATTCAAAAGCATAAACAAATAGTAAGAAGAAGAAAGAACACAACTGAATAAGCTAAATTGGCCGTAATGTATGTGTGTGATTTTAGTGAAGTTTTACAAACTAATTTCGAGAGGAGCACGTGATATGATTGACTGCAGCTGGCCACCCATCTACATTCATTAATAAGCCAATAAGATTATTCCTAACTCACTGTAAGTAGCCTAGCTAGATCTACTCCCTTATCTTCGTTTTCCGAAGAAACCCCCCATCCACCCCTTCTCCTCCTTTCCTTCTTTACCACAGAGGAGCTCTCGAGAACCACTTGATCTCGTACTCCCCTCACATGCTCTATGGACCTGGCGGGAGCCCTGGGCTCAGCTATCTCCGAGCTCAGGGTTCTCTCCCGGGACAGCATGCCAAACCTGCTAACAGTTGTCAAACAATATCTAAGTGTGAACTCTTAAAAGAGTGGTTGAGTATATGGGTTTCCCAGTACTGGGTTGCAGCTGGAATGGCATCCTTCATATGCTGGATAAGTTGGTGGTTCAGTCCGCTGTGGTGACTCCTGATGAATAAAGGTACTAAGCCGAAAATGAAAAATGAAAATGAAATAAATGAAAAAACATTTCATGCTGACAAATGAGTGAAACCAGAAGAAGAAATTACATGAATCACAAAATATGGAAATCTGTTAATTTATGGATATTTCTTACAGTTTATAGCAAAACCAAGATCCATCAAATGACAAATAGTGATATTTAAGCACTGTACTGTTTATTTAAATGGAAAGCGGTTTTAAAAAGACTCACTATCACAGTAAAGTACAAATGTACTATTTTATTTAACCTAATAGATATGCTTTTATGGTAAAGGGAAGTAAATCAGTAAGTCTACCTAAGACACATTGACAAACTTGATTGCAAAATGGATTGCTTTGAACAATATATTGACTTTTAAAGCTGCTTTTTGTCTATTCATTGCTTTACTACTCAACACAATATATAACACAATGTGTATTATCTTTTGAGGGTTCCCTGCAAAGTGTTGATTCCCTGCCTTTTAAATGGTTTGGGTTTTATGTATTAGATTTAATAAAACAGTGACTATATAAAATACTTTTAGTATTTTTAAGAGGATATATATATACAGTATATACAAAGATTAAATGTTTATTTTTAATTGTGCATTTTGACAACTTTTACTTTTTGCTCAAATAATTAACTGTTTTCAAAAAAACATGTTAAGGTTTCAGGTTCTGTTTCTGCTTTCTTTTAAATTCTTGACCTGCTTGAGGAGCACATGAACTTGTTTGTGCATGTCCACTTCTAGCTCTGTCATTTAACACAATTACATTACTCTCAAAGACATCCAGTTGTCCTGTAGGCGCTCATAAGAAAACACAATCACTTTTGAAGTAGCAGTTATTATGATTGGTCATGAATCTAGTAAATATGTCTCTTTATGTAGACAGTTGAACAGATCAGGTCCAGGTCATGTACGCAGATGAATGCAGGACATCTGGATTTCACAGCAATGGGCAAAAATGTGCACTCACTGCATTGTGATGTCATTTTTCCCCTTTTTTTATTTATTTATTAGGTCTTGACTCAAGTCTTAGATTTGATTCATTGACTATGTTTTCAAGGACATCAGTAATCGAATTATTAATCTGGATAAGACAATAATATGATTAAGGTATTTACATGAGTTGCTTTTTGAATGTACCTTTATTGTTTCCATTCTTTCATGTTATAGTACATAGTTGGATTATTGTCATTGCATCAGCAGTTAGTTTCCTCTAGTTTCACACAACAGTTCGTGTTCATCATGGCACCATATGTAATATTAGCTGTTTTGTTTTAATTTTCCAACCAGTTCAACTGCTATTAATTTTTAATTTATCACACTATACATGCAAACAGATCATGGTTGCATACAAATTCTCAAGCCACAGGCTACCACTGCCATTTCATTCATTACCTTTTCATTCATAGCCATTTACTTTAAAGCCATTGCACTTCATAATGTCTGTCATTTCTGTCAGAATTTATAGTCATCGTTTCCCGCTCACACCAAAAATGTGCTCTCTTGCTTGAAGGCGTTCTCACTTGTCGTCAAATGCTTGACAACTACCATGCATGCATCCTGTTACAAAATATACTGGAAACTACTACAAAATGATAATAGTTTAATCAAGGTGTTTTGATGTCTGTAATGCACTTGATTTTATAAGACTAGTAAAATAGGAATACTCCACTTGTCTTGATTTTATTTCTGTTTAGTTCTATTATGACATTAATCGAAGTAGGGTAGTCAAAAATCGCTGTTTACATGGTAGACTCTTAATCAGAGTGTTGTTTTAATCGTATTAAAATCTGAGTATTGGTGTCTGAGGAAATGTACCCAGTGTTATCCTTTTAGAATTCACTTTGCTATCAGCATTTGAACACAAAGACACCTTTAGAATCAGACAGGTCTCAAAAATGTTATGGTCTAATAAAACAAAAATGCAACAACAGCAATAACTTAGCCACAATATGTATTTCTCTATAAAAACATACATTTATGCACAAAATGATCACCAGCCATAACTTTCATATGCTGTCTTTGTTGTTTAGCTCAACTGACATGAAATCAAAAGCACAAGATTGTGGGACATAATAAGCAGCAAAGAATACATCCATGTTACCTTCAAATATTTATCAAATGAAGCATTTGGATGTACCTAGGAATCATTCATTCAGCTTACGATTCAATACGGTTCATGGTTGTAATTTGATGATTGAACTTTCTAACAATTTTTTACATAAGGAGGCTGAAGACATCAGAAACAGAGTGCTATTAGGCTAATACTGCATGTTCCTTTATAAAATTAAAATATGACAAAACTAAATTGAAAATTTAAAACAAAGCCTAGTTCAAATAAGTTTTGAAGAGGAATTACTTCATTTAAACAAAGGCTTGTCTTTGCTTTTGCATTTAAAATTAGAGGCAACCAATTCAATTACTGCATGTAACATTAAATGTAATGTTTAATAAGGTAAGGTGTAGATTTTTATTACTGAGAGTCTGATTTTACCCGTAAAAAGGGCCTGTTTATATGTATGTAGTCAGTGACAGAGTGCAAACATGTGTGTCTAACCTAATTAATAATTAATTTTCAGAATCATGAATGTTTATTTACTGGTGTCACCATTGTCCTGCACATTAGGGAACAGGTTCAAGGCTGTTTAAGTCCACCATCTCAAGTCCATAGTATTATTATCATTTTAATCAGCTGTACTTTCTTTGTTAATTTTTCTTAGAATAGAACTTAGAATAAAATATGTTATAACAATAATTATAATAAGACCCTCTTCTTTATTATACTGTAGATTAAAATATTGCAGGATTGTGAGCTCAGTGTTATAAGGTGGGTCTTAGATCTCCTCTTGTTCACACAGTAAACAGTGTCAGTAAAAAAACTGCCTCAGAAAAGTACACTTAGTTTTGAGTTGGTTCCTGCAGCTTAATGGTGGCATGTGCCAATTTATTTAATATTTGCATTATTGTTTAGGATCACTTGATATTACATCTGATTTTAAGATTCATCAGTACTATTACACATGGGCAACTCCAAGTGAAACGTTTTGAACTTGTCCACACATCCAGAGATGGTCTAAAGTGTAAAAATAGACAAAAATAAGTGGAATGTTCTCCCACTTGTCCACATGTGACTGCAAATAAGATTTTTAAATTGGGCTATGGTCATTCTCTTCAGTTGTGCTAGCATTGGCAGTAAAAATTAGAGAAAGCCCACATACACTTTCTCTTTAGAAAATAGTTGAAAGTGGTTAAAAAATGGAAATAAGAGACACAATTGAATGGCAGGTGTGAATGGTAACGTGACCCCTTTGTCCACTTATGGTCGGATCGATGAAAATGCATCTTAATACCAGTGTAAACAGAGCCTTAGTGCTATTGTGATTGCTCTGTCCTTCACAGAATGTTTCTTCCCTGCAGGTATATGAAGTACCTCTACCCTTACGAATGTGAAAAGCGTGGGCTGAGCTCTCCCGGGGAGCTGCAGGCAGCTATCGACAGCAACCGTCGTGAAGGGCGGAGACAGAGTTATGGCTCCACCCTCTTCAATTACTCCCCCGTGGGCACCCCGACACTGCTGGCATCCCCAAAACTCCAGATGCCCCATATCAGCATGCCCACCCCTAATGGCGGACACATGACCCAGACCCCCGGCATCAAGAAAGGTTAGATTTCTCCTTTTCACAGCACATCTATGTTACAAATGACAAAATTTATTTTATATGTTGTTGTTGTTGTTGTTATTAGTGCATCCAGAACTTGCAACACTGAATCTGTCTGGACAATATGGTTTTTAATAAAAATTGAACAGGCCACTGTAGTTTAAAGCAAGACACTACAGGTAAATAGGGTAGAAATAGCTAATAGATAGAACCATGTATCCCCAGTTGATTGATTACATTAAGAATTGCAAACATTTTTGTTTTTAAAGTTTTTTAAAATGATGTTTAAATATGAAAATGAGGCACTTGTTCAATAATTTTGAGCTAATTTCAATATAATTCTAGCACAAACAAATTTTTTGTCACAAAAAAAAGAGACATTTATTCATTCATTTTCTTTTGACTTAGTTCCATATTTATCAGGGACGAATGAACCGTCAACTATTCCAGCATATGTTTTACGCGGTGGATGCCCTTCTAGCCATTCATACACCCATACACTCTCACATGCACACACACACACACTCATACACTAAGGCCAATTTAGTTCATCCAATTCATCTATAGCGCTAGTCTTTGGACTGTAGGGGACACCGTAGCACCCGAAGGAAACCTACCCACACAGGTGGAGACCATGCAAACTCCACACAGAGATGCCAACTGACCCAGCCGGGACTGAAACAAGCGACCTTATTACTGTGAGACAATAGTGCTAACCACTGAGCCACCATGCCGCCATATTAGAGACGTATTAGTGTGAAAGGTTTTACAGACTGGATTAGATAAATAAGCTTTTATCAATATATAAATAAATACTCAATATAAAGTAAATAAATCTTTTTACAATTTTTTAAATAATAAAATGTTGTGTGTAATTGGGGAAACTGTGAATGAACATACTGTATATACCTTTGTAAAAATTACCCAGATATGAAGATATAAATAACAGAAGAATTTTGGTGTAGGTGCTGGAGTGGAAATTTCTGCCTCTTTTTGAGAAAAACAGCCTTTAAATGCATGTGTTGACACTATAATATACAGGCATAAATTGATAAAGTGCACAAGATTTATTTTATTTTATTATAACAGATTTTTGTTACTTAGGGAAAAAAATTGAAAAGATTTGTTCAGGCTCTCAGCCAGCTCCTCCAGACCTCAATAAATGTTTCATGAACAGACAAGTTCTGTGAATGAAAACCTTGAAATATAAAATCAAGTGATGTCATTGAGGAAATTCATGTCTGTGATTGATAATGGTGAGCCTTATCTTCGCCACGTTGCCAGTTCTAGTATTTATCTGCATAGTTTTTTTGACTGCTTTTTAATACTTCATTTGACTACTTAATTAAGTAATTAGGGAATTAATAAAGTGGAAACAAGAAGGTTAGGTTGAGCGATTCTGGTTCCTTTTTGCAAAATACAAGGTTTATACTATATTATACTTTAGTGCATTTTTTGGCAACATTTCACCCATTGAACTGAAATAAACACATATGGCACAGGTCATATATTGCTGACGAGACCACATTTGGCAAGACTAACAATGACCGCCATGATATTATCAGTATGAAACGCAATCAAAACAGCAGCATTACATGACCCTCATATAGTAGATCTGTAGAACAATAGAAATGAAAACACCAGCTATAGGCGATGCTATTTCCTCTAGGTTATTAGTTTGCTATTCATTTAAGTCCTGCAAATATTCATATAGAACATTATTGCTTATTTATTATTCACATACCAATGCTTATTAATGAAAGATAACTACAGTAAAAGGCATTAACATTTTGCTACATTAAACAAAGTTAAAAACACACACTTAAACCGTGTTGAAAAAATAATATATACAATAAAAAACTAATTTAAATGGAAACCCTTCTAAATGTACTAGCATTCTATTTGCTTTAGATTGTTTTGGAGAAGGAGGGCAAAAAAACGATATTCCTCATCAGGAAATTGAATGTTATATAAATCATCAAATCTAAATTACCTCCAAAGGAGAAGTCATCTCCCTGACACAATAGCACTTCCATTTCTTACTCACACTTATTCCACGTTGTGTCCTGAATGGTCATCAGAGTGGACAGGAAACAGCTTGCAGGACTTCCTCTTGCCCACTCTGCCAGTTTCCGGATCACACCAGCAGGAGCAATGAAACACAAAGACACACGGGCTGCTTCATGATTCAGTAATGTGCCCGTATGGAAAAAAGACAAGTCACGCAAGTCTTAAAGGATCAAAGACCCTCACGAATCTGACAGTATTTATAGTGTTTACAAAGCAGCTTTAAATAGATGTCAGAGCTCACTGCATGATTCGTCATGCTCATGCTTCCCTATGAGGATGTATGACTGCAGCACGTTTCTAAACTTGAACATATAAAATAAATTGATGCTGAATAACTTCCTTTTCATCTGCAAAACCTTTTTTTTTCTCAGTAAGGAAGCATTGAATTGAAAACAAAGACTTTTGTAATTGTTAAGGATTTAATCTAACAATGATACAGTGCTCAGCATGTGTACGTACACCCCTCACAAATCTCTCTTTTAAATTCATATTTTAATAGGAAGCTATACAATATTATATTTGTGCATATACATTAGATTAGTCAGTACTGAAGCCAAATCTGGAGCTTATCTACCTACACAACTTGGATAACGGTCTAAAAACGAGTACAGCCAAAATTATATGTTATAGAAAAAAATTAAATACAAACTTAAACAAGAGGAAAAATCAAGAGAAGCAAAAAAATACAAAATACAAAATGTAGTTGAAATTTTGTAGGTTGTCATTTGTTTTTGTAGTATTTTGCTTGAATTTAATTGTTTTATTTTTCAATTTCTAAATATGTTTGGTGACTAAAATCTAACTTTTAATAAATATATCTGTTTAATAAACCTGTTTTGTTTGAATGCATCCTTTAATTATCCTGTAATTCTTAGACTTTTAAACAGGACCCCATTAAAAATATTAGGCCCACAGAATCTATGGACGCACCTTCTAATTTATATGTAAATTTATATTTATCCAGTTTTTCAATTAATTTCAGTAATATTATTGGCAAATATGCAAATGTTCATATGATTTATTCCTAATACAGTATTTTACAGTACAGAAATAGCAAAATATGTCTGCAGATTCTGTCTGGCCCTACTAATAGCCAATTTTGAATAAAAAGTCCATAACCAGTCAAATAAATACTTCTGTTATTTTATCATAACTATTATAACAAAGTGTGCAATAAGTGTATTTAAGTATTTACACATTTTTATGATTTTAAATAGGTTTATATTTTAACTACATTTAATATACATTATTTTTACATATTACAGGAAATTACAAAAGCGGATTTATTATATTAGGTTGTTAAATTGTTTTCTGATGCTTTTTCATATTCTTGCTGGGTGTTAACGTGACGTCATTTCTATCTAATGTGATGTTTTAATGACAAAATAAAGGAAACGGAACTGAACTTATATATAATTCATTGTTATTATTACATACTAGGGATGTAACGGTATCAGAATTTCATGGTACGGTAATACCTCGCTATGAATGTCACGGTACGGTATTTATTGAATCATTTACAGGAAAAAACAAAACTTATGAAAATACTCCAAAAAAGTGCCAAAAGTGTCAATGACATACAAATTAGCCATCTATCTGTAAGCTTTGAAACAGGAACTTCAATTTTAATAACAAAAAAATATTAAACCATGTAAAAAAATAAAATTTCAATTTAGTATTGTTGAAAACTCATCACATTCAACATTTAATCACACTCAGCCCATCTACCCAGATGAGAGCTCTGCTAGTCGGACTTCTCATCAAGCATCTCCCGCTGGATCTAATCTCACTATATTTATTAAACGGGATATTTCATTTATCTTGTCGTCTTTATCTAACAACATATTCCCTGACTTTGGGCATTGGAATCTATTACTTGTTCTCAGGTAACGTGTTTTGGCTGAGCGCAAAGATGAGTTAATGATTAATGTAACCACGTACATTCTGTATATTGACTGATCGCTTGCCTTTATTTCCTATAATGTATAAACTTATTGTATGTTATACTTTTAAAATGGCCATTATCGATTCTTAAAACTGATACTCAGCAAAAGAGAGGCTGTGTTTCGTATTTTCACTGAAATTGAAAGGAGGCAGTTGTTATCGGCTCCGTTTTGTTATAAATATCCACACAGTGAAGATGACGCTCATCTTATGCAGCACGGCGCCTCAACATTTCTGCTGTCTAAGTTGCTAATATTAAAATGAAAATAGGCAGTTCCTTAAATCATGTTTACAGTTTATTGTTGAGAAAGTGAAACAACGAAGCCAGGGTGATGTGAATGAAGTTATAAAGTACACTGTTCCCTTTGAAGATTTACCCGTGTCCTCGGTATAATCTGCTTTTCCATATCAAACTGAGAAGAAGAGACTGCAGCCTTGATCAAACTTGCGAAGTCTGAACTTACACGGAGAGAATGCAGGACTGAACTGTGCGTGTAAAGCAGGTCGCACACCAGAAGCGACGCTCGGCGGCGCGCCACGCAGCGCCATGTATTTTAGAATTCTAATCATAGGTTTCTATCAGGATACACACACCGGCGCCGCAAGTCGGCGGCTGTCGGCGGCGCCCGGCGACGGCTCAGGACGCAGTTCATTTTTCAGCCGCGCCACAGAGCGCCATCTGATTAGTTTCATGTTAAATATCATTCGAATGTGCGCGTCTGGTGTGCGATACTTTAATCTGTCATGTACGCGCCGTGTCGCGGCGCCGAGCGGCGCTTCTGGTGTGCGACCTGCTTTAGAGTTTTCCAGCTCTTTTCATCCCCGCTTCTAGCAGCACACTCCATTTCCGCATTACTGGATCTGTAGCGACAACAGACCGCAAGCGATGATGGTCAAGCATGGGCTGATGGCAATTGTAGTTTTCGTTACCTCCCGTTCGCTTCATTCGCCTGAGCAAATTTTCTCAGAAGACCTATAGTTTTACCGAGTCATGCGACTTCGGTAATATCGAAAAAAATTAATATTGCGGTATGACGGTATTTACAATACCGTTACATCCCTATTACATACATAATTAACACTTTAAAACAAAAACTGTGGGTGACACGGTGGTTCAGTGGTTAGCACTGTCACCTCACAGCAAGAAAGTCCCTGGTTTGAGTCCCGGCTAAGTCAGTTAGTATTTCTGTGTGGAGTCTGCATGTTCTCCTCATGTTCGCGTGAGTTTCCTCAGGATGCTCTGGTTTCCCCCAGAGTCCAAACATATGTGCTATAGGTGAATTGAATAAAGTAAATTGGCTGAAGTGTATGTGTGTGTGAATTTGAGAGTTTGTTTCCCAGTACTGGTTTGTGGCTGGAAGAGCATCCGCTGTGTAAAACATTTGCTGGATAAGTTGGTGGTTCATTCCGCTGTGGTGACCCCTGATGAATAAAGAGACTAAGGCAAAGGAAAATGAATTGTCTCTTTTAAATATAATAATATTTGACTGTTTTCACTATTTTGATCAAATAAATGCACTCATAGTAACATGAATTATTTAAAAACATGCTAAATTAGTGTTAAAAAGCTATTTTAACTCGCTCAACGAAACAGAAAATTACTGTTAAATAATTATCCTAAAACAAAAGTAACAGTCAATTATACGCTACTTTAGATTGTGGGTAATTCATTAAAGAGTATCTATTTTGGATGATTAGATATTTGTTTTGTTACGTGTTCGTCCTGCTGAGATGTGTTTTGTTGCTCCACAGAGGACTCTATGCTGTCCAGCTGCCTGACGAACAGGGTGGGCATCCCCATGTCTCTGGCTGGGCATCACAGTGCGGCTCAGGCGGCAGCAGCAGCAGCGGTCCAGGCGGCTGCTCTGGAACAGCTGCGGGAGAAGCTGGAGTCTGGAGAACCACCAGAGAAGAAGGTGATGCTCATGGCGGAGGAGCAGCAGAGGATCATGCAGCACGCACTGCAGCAGAACCTCTTCGCCATGGCCACACAGCTGCCCATGAACATTAAGCTCAACAACAGAGGTCAGTGCACTCTAACAAACAAATTTGTCCTATACACTGTATGGTTGCACAAAAATCTCTAATATGATTTAGTTAAACTCTGTAAGAAACTTCTGTGTTCTCTTTGAAAGATGCTGTATTGGTGATTTATGAAACAGCAGCAGTTGGTAGGCTTGTTTAAATACATAATAAACGGTGTAGTGTAGAAGTGTAGTGTTTCTCTTGAATGACCCATAAAGTCCTGTTGACTGAGTCAATAATGAGACTAGAGGGCATTATGGGTCAGATGATGTAGATTAGGGCAGAGTGAAGACCACTAATAGGTAACGGCTGCTGTAGTAGCCAAACACACGTGACTAAATATTAGTCAACTAGTTTTTCCTAACCGAACTGAAGGATAGATAATGGATAGTTTTTTTATGGATAATGGGTCAGATTTATTTGACAACTTTCTTCATTCTTGTCTTACAAATACAGGTTTGAGACATTTTTAAACTTGTTTCAGCTTGAAATAATGGAAATATATCCAAATATATATTTCATTTAGTTTCAAAGTACTATATTGCTAAAACTAAATAAACAACATTAAAAATCTACAGTATATAGACAAAAACTATTAGACATAGATTAAAAACATTCAAGTTGTTCATGAAAAAACTCTAATAGTTACCCTGATACAAAGTTTTGAACACTTTTTTGTTTCAAATGATTTTTTTATATTGTTTTCTTGACACTTATGAAGACATTTATATAGAAAGAAACATGTCTCTGTTAAAGTTAACGGTTGACCATGTTTTTAAATAATGACTATTAAAGTAATTTACAGAATGACTGTTTTATATAATGGTTTACACACACAGCAATGTTGGTTTAAAAAATTCAAACAAGCATAATCTTGTTGCATCACTACACTCGATTTTGGTTTTATTGTAAAAAAAAAAACAGGTTAAATAAGAATCTTTTATGGCATACTTAATAAAGGCGATGTTTTATTTTAAATCTAAAGAAAAAAAAAATTCACTTTTTTATAGTATACAGTTGAAGTCAGAATTATTAGCCCCCCTTTGATTTTTTTTCTTTTTTAAATATTTCCCAAATGATGTTTAGCAGAGAAAGAAAATGTTCACAGTATGTCTGATAATATTTTTTTCTTCTGGAGAAAGTCTTATTTGTTTTATTTCAAGTAGAATAAAAGCAGTTTTTAATTTTTAAAAAAATATTTAAGATCAAAATTATTATTATTACTATTAATTTATTAAATTTTTTTCGATAGTCTCCTGAACAAACTATTATGTGTAGAAATGTGCTGAAAAAATCATCTCTTTGTTAAACAAAAATTGGGGAAAAAATAAACAGGGGGGCTAGTAATTCAGGGCGTTTAATAATTCTGACTTCAATTGTATGTATTAAATCCGGTTCTTTTACCATAAATCAACATTTCAACCATTTCGTAGAGGCAGATATTTTAGAAATGATGTGATGTGTTGAATAAAAGTGCTAAATATAATAAATAAATAAATGTTAACTACTGACATTAGGAGATAAGAAATGCAATCCAAACATTTTTTTCTTGGTGGGGTAGTTAAAGGGTTTATAAGGCGTTCTTACGAAAAGAAAAGTCAAACTTCATTTTATGTTCTTGGTGAAATTTCCAGATGAAGAAAAGTAATGTCTACTGAGCGCTTTTTCTAATGTTGATGATTTCACTAAACTTAATGACAGTGTGCGTGTGTGGTGATTGCAGGCTTCTCATAAGCAATGTGTCTTTTTCATGTCTCTTATTCAACCCATAAAACAAGAGCTTCTTTTATATGCTGAGACAATATAACATAATTCTATAACACAAGCCAAGACTTTCACACACAAACACTCTGCAATTTAAAGATTATATTAAATATTATATTGTGCAACCTCACACAGAGTAATGACAGAGTGAAAGTCCTGACAGTTGCAGACTTTTTGTAGATATGATTTCTCTTGTTTTATCTTCTCCTTTTTTGACTGGAAAGATGGTGTGCTGCTTAAATATGTGATGAATGCATTGTGCTTAATGTTAACATTGTGATCTCAGTGAAGTAATGTTGAACGCATGAAGCAGTTCTCTATCTGGAAATGTTTTGGACAGTTATCACCTCCCTCTCCCCCCTTTAACTCTTTTAATAAACCCCTCCTTATCCTGTCACTCATGAGTTATCACCGATAGTTGGTGGCACGCTTCTCTTGCTTCTTGTGTTCCTTTTATAAATGCTCATATTGAGTTTTTCTCTTCCTCGCTCTCTGGCTCCTCTCTTGACAGATGATAGACAAGAGACTGCATTGAACCTGTCTACCAACGGCATTAGCAGCATCAACATGTCAATAGAAATAAATGGGGTTGTCTACACAGGTAAATAGAGCGCCGTTTGCTGATGTAATTGCAGGCAGGAAATTCAATAAGTTATAGCAGCACCCCCTCGCTTAGTCCTCCACACAATTTGATGTCTTTGCTATAAAATCCATCGTAATGAAGTGGCAAGTCCAATAGAGTTAAAAAAGTTAAATATCTTCAAATTGGGCCTGGGCGCCGGGAGGTCGATGGAGCTTATTGTCTTTCGTGCCCGAGAGAAAGGCCCTGCGCCTTAGCAAGATACAGTGCTTGTGCCTGATGTGCGAGAGACAGTAATTACTAGAAGATGCCTCATAAGCTTGCTGGGAACAATTCGGGAGATCAAGTTGAAGTGGCATCCGTTTTTCCACTCGATGGTTTGTTCGCTGTAAAGACGCACAGCCCTGGAACTTTTCCTACGGCTGACAACTTAATGCTTTTGTTTAGGATTTTAATACAACCAAACTATACAGAGAGATACTATATGAATCAGACTCTGAACAAAAAAGAGCCTATTTTAAAACGCAAACTCAGATGTTTAAATGAATTAAAGTGAAATTAGAAAAACCGATGTGATGTTTAAAATGACAAATTTAAATAATGGATGTACAGTAAAAGGTTTATAAAAAATAGACCTGTTTTTAGCTTGAATTGTGATTATCACAATACAGTTCTGCTTAAAATAATCTTAAAGTTTACACGACAGTCAAGTGCTAAAAAGATTTGCATGCAGGCAATATTGTCACATTGATCTCTGTTTGTACAGATATGCAAAATAAACCACTGTACATTATGTAATCAGTGATGGTAGGCCTGTCTCAATATATTTGCACCAAATTATATTGCAATAAACTATTATTGTCATTTTAAGACCATTTTATGTCACTCAAAATATAATGCCATAATATAATCATAACAATGCAAGTTAGCTCTTCCAAAGAACACATAATATTTTATTCTTATGAATATTTAATTTAATTATAGTCATTTTAACAACTGAATAATGAGTCATTGGAATCGGAATGTAAAAACGCATATCCTAAATAAATAATAATAAATCTTAACAAAAAAGTGCAACAGAGGCTGTGATATCTGCTAGCAGATCTATTTTCAGTTGTCAGACACCCACATGAAAATATACTATAGTAATTTATAGTAAATATTATAGTCTTTTTCTAACTATACTGACACTTCCAATAGCGATAAAGATTTTGCCCAATCAGCTGAAATGTTGCTAGAATTGGTTTTATGTATAGGCGATATATATTGCATCACCAAAAATGATTGAGTGCATGTCCATGTGTTGTGCGATATAAGTCAGATATATTGATTATTGTGACAGGCCTAAGTGATGGCATCAGTTAAAAAAAAATCTGCATTTTCAAATGAGATTAATTGAATGATTTAATTTGTGAAAATTATTTAAATAAAAAATAGTTTTCACATATTTTCACTATATTAGTTTGCGTTTAGTTAGCATCTTCACATTTTTTGAGTAGATCTAAATAAAAAGTAAGATACTTATTAATGTACAGAAAATAAAGGGGGTGCTGTGATTGTTAGCATTATGAACCACGTACAGAAATGTTTTAAGTGTTCTATATATTGTAACTGTACTGTTTAAAGTGTGTGGTAATGATAATAATGAACCTTATTGTTTTCATGATAGTATTTAATGTGTAATTTAATTTTACAACATATTTTTAGTATATTTTGAATTGTTATTTAGCATAAAAACGTAGTCATTATATATACATCATCAGCCTGGGGTTGCTGCAATGCCATATGGCTTTTATAATTTTGAAGTCCACAAAATGAGAAATGCAAAAATAAATGCTTGCACTGGTTCAAAAAGAATGTGTGCTTTCACAACTAGACTTTTGTTTCAGAACCGGTCTCGTTTGCCCATTTAGCGCGGTTTGTTTGGCATATGTGAATCCAGCAATCGCGCTCGGATCCACGCCAAATCAATCGCTCCGAGATCACCTGAATGAGGTGGTCTTGGCTCGATTGAAACGAACTCTGGAGCAGATCGATTGTAGTGAGAAAGCGATACGATCCAAGCCTGGTTATATCACAGTGTATTATGAATATGTAAATATTATATGTGAAGAGAGAATTATGAATAGGGCGGGACAAGTGATAATAACTCAGTAATTGAGCGTCTCCCTCCCGGTCCTCAAATACGTTGCGCACCCTTCTCACCCCTTCCCACCGCATCCCTCCTTGCTCTTCAGACATGTCGCGCACACCCTGTCAAACACCACTAAACCATTTATTCACTCAATTAAATGTCTGGACCAGTTGACCAATCAACACAAAAGATTTCTTTACCTCAGACAAAAAAGTACTTACATTTTATTTTGTCTGGGATTTGTAATTATCTTGGTTTCTCACAACTTTTTGGTATTTTGGGGCAAATTGTAAAGAATATTCCCATTAATAAAACTCAGGACTAACACAAGGAAATAACAGTCCTGATTTTTACAAAATAATACTTATTAAAATAAAATAAAAGAACTTTGATTGATTTTCCACCAGAACATTTGAATAGCATTATTATAAGGACAAGTGCAAGCAGACCAGTTTTGAATTTCTCCTGTTGTGGTTAAAAAACCAAAAAGGTAAATGCCATTAAAACAGCTCCAGGGTGATTAAATGATGACTTCATTGTCTTTTTTGGCTGACCTATCTTTCAAGCCGTTGCTGTGGTTGATGTTTATACACCTTAAATGTAACTTCAGACTAACCCCATCTTTGTCCTGTGACTCCAGGGGTTTTGTTTGCCCGTAAGCCAGCCATTGGCTTCATGCCCAGCAGCCAGCGAGTCCATCACCAACACAGCTCTCAGGGAAAGAGCAACAGCCCGGGGCTCAGCAGCCACATTCAGCCGTCCTCCTCTGCCTCCTCCAGCGCATCCTCACACGGACCAGCCACCTCCCCATGAGCCTCATCCCGGCCCACAACACCTCACTTCACTCACTCTCCCCCACCGGCCGGCTGCAGACAAGGCAGGGTCTTTAGGTCATTCTGTTGGACCACTTATTTCTGTCTCCTTCAATGTACACTTTTTACTGTTTTTTAACCCTCCCTCTGCAAATTAGGACAGGAGCGTCCATCACCCCAAAAAAAACTTCCATTAAAACAGCTAATAGCCGCACATTTAAAGTGTGTTACATTTACATATGCAGCGAGTTGCAGCTTTTTGTTTTTTTCTAAGGACGCCGTATTCAGTGCGGAGCCACTAAACTGCGTGACAATGCCATGAACACAAGAAGCGCAGTGATGCTTCAGAGGACGGGCACTGACCTGCTTCCATCTTCACTTTCCTACACAATCCTGAATTTTTTGGCACAGGAGTCCAAACTCTTCTTCGCCTTCACTTGTTGCATTCTTGAAACAAACAGCAAGAGCTACTATCAGCTATTACCAAAGAGAATAAGAGCAACGTAGTAATGTTTTTTAATCCACTTCATCACACATATCTGATGTCATTGCAAACTATCAGTCGCCATAGTTACAGTAATTATCAAGCGTTTCGATTTGAATCAAAGCACATCCCATTTAACTTGGGCATCAAATCGTCAGGGAGAAAAAGTTATTTAATGTATTATTGTCACACCCGTTTACGAGACTGGGAGAATCATAAATGCTTGCCGGATGTGCAAGATGTATAGCTTGATATTGAAGAAAGCAGACAGGATTATGTCTGCTCTCGTGACTGGTTTTGGCCTGCGGCCGTGGCGAAATATATTCCATTGATTGGTGAGTTATTTGGGGAACACTTGTCGACAATGTTTAAAGGTTTTCCAGCACCTCAGCTCGTGTTTTATAGCAAAGTGTTCATTGAATGGTTAGAGTAGACGGGAAAAACGGGTCACACCAGTTAATACAGGTTTCAGAAGTCGGGGGTCAAAAGATATTGTGACATGTGACTGAGCTGGACGTTGATCAACTAGTTGAGAGGCTCTTGAGAAGAAGATTATGTGGTGTGAATAGGCTGAATGTGGCTCATCGTAGGCATCAGTTCATCAGGCAAGATCTCTGTTGTGAATAGAATTCATTTTTCATCAAGTTTTCAACAATGCACTTGCATTTGAGAGTTCACCTCTCGTCCTTTATTCCATTCTCCATTTTGTTGTGTTGCTCAAACACTTTCTTTTCCCCTCTCTTTTCACTTGGCAGAGAAATGGGAGGATGTTATTGTGTCATTTTCTTTTTAGAATTCAGTAGATGATTTCAAGTTGTATTTATTATTATTACTTTTATTCTCTTGCTTTCGTGTCGAACCTTGGGCTGCTTTCAGCAACATCGCTTTTATTTAACAAAGAAAAGAAAGTCATGTTACAGCCCAATACCTCACAAATCCTGCAAACCTGTACACGGATGATAGATTATGAAAACAAGATATACCTCATTTATTTCATTTCTCTTATTTTTATTGTGAAGCCACTTGAAAAATGATGTTTTTTCAACAAATCACTGGATTATTCTTTTTTTTTTCTTCTATTTGTATTGTTTTACCAAAGAAGGGAATATATAATGAACACACATCTACCTCATTTGTTATAGACTGTGCCAACAACATAATCACAGCAGCCAGTTTTTAACCATAGCCTTTCTGGTCCAGATTCCCTCACGCCTGTGTGAACCAGAGGCTGGAGAACACTGGGTTTCACAGCTTCATCTGCTTTGCTTGTTTTTCTTTGTCAATCGCATTTTTATGCATGGGAAAATAAACTATCAGAAGGATTCTATTTTATGTATACAGCTGGTCAGATCAATGTTGATTTGATCGATGTTCATTTGTACAGTATCGATATTTGTTGAATCAGATCTGAAATTCATCTCTTGAAACATATCTTAAGTTAAAGGGTTAGTTCACCCTAAAATGTTTATTCTGTCATCATTTGTACTCATCCTCATGCCGTTATAAACCCGTAAGAGATTCTGTTCTTCCTAAAAACACAGTTTAAGATATTTGTATTGTATTGTATTTACATTTAGTCATTTAGCAGACGCATTTCTGTCCAAAGCAACTTACAAAAGAAGAGGCATTCAGCAATTCAACAAGAAGGGGCAATACATGTTAATATTTATGTTGAGATTCTGTTCACCCAGAGCTCTGATGCCAAAAAACGACATTGTAAAATAAATCTAAATGTATCAAGCAGTTTATTCTAAGGGTTTTGAAGAGGCGTTACTGCTTTATATGATGAACAGAATTGACTTTGGGCTTTTATTCATATATTAACATTGTTCAAAAGCAGAAGTTCTACCTCACCCAATGCCAGTTGCATCAGTAAGTTTGCAGCCCTGAATATGGAATTGTGTAAGATTAGCTGTACAGACTTGGAGTGAGAAATAACAGAGCGACGTACGAACAATAACTTGTTTCTTTTGCCAGATCTTGGTCGAACAACCAATAACACTTCTAATAAGACCAGTGGAAAATCTTAATACATTATTTAAAAACAATACCAATATATCGCTGTCCACGTTTGACCACTTTAGCAACTCTAATTAAAGCTGATAGATTTATCCGCAGAGCCTAAAAAAAACAAGCCAATAGATGATTAAAATAAATAAACATGGCAATACTTCAGGCGCAAATAAATCACAATGCAATCTTGGAAGGTTTGGTGTTGTAATATTAAATTGGTCAAAGATAGCGAATACACCTCTTGAACACATCCTCTTGCCTGACAATCAGTTATCAATCATCATGTTTGGTCATATTCTGTAAGCTTCAAACTATTTAGACAACATCTTTATATCCTGAAGCGTTTAGTTTAGCCTATACATTGCTAATCTCTCTGGTTGTCCACTATAAGAAGTTTGCAAATTTAAGATTAAATATGAAGTAGTCTTTATTGTGCAAACGTTGTAGATTAAGCAGCTATTATAGAGTGTTTTAATAATAATTGTTATCCATGCTAATGTAACATGTAACCCACCGGTCCTACTGCACCCAACCCAAATCAGCGATTTGCTCTAACAAGGAGGCTTAAGACCTTGGCCTTTGGTGTCTGTTGCTAAAGCACTTTTAGAGGTCAGAGGAGTGAGGGTTACCTGCATAGCACTTTGCTAGCTGGCCTTCATTACACTCACCCCGATAAACCTCTCTCCTATCCCGGACGAGCTCCCACAAGAATCCTGCGCTCTGAGCTTGGGCATGGGAGTCGGTTGCTCTAACATAGCACTTTGCTAGCTGGCCTCCATTGCGCTAATAAATATACATATATATATACATATATATATATATATACACACACACACGTGTTACTGGCATGACAAAATATTTATCAAAATATTTCAATATATCAAAAAAAAATGCCCTAAACATATTGAAGTACTTCTAACAGGTGCAGAGTGATTTCTAAAACAATAAATGATTTAAAGAAGTAATAATTCTGAATGTAAGATTACATAAATGTTAGAAAGTGCCCAAAAAGTGACCACCCTCCTCCCCTTCATTCCCTTCACTGCTTCATGCAGCTTCAAAAACTTTATGAATCTTTTATTTTGAATCAGTGGTGTAGAACGCATAAGACTTACTCCAACCCTGGCTCATTCTGAAAACGTAGTCCCATTGGCTGTTTCTGGAGGCCGCAAAATCTGTCCCGGGAGGTACGTATTTTTGCAGTTTTTGTTTTCGCGAATCCGCGAGAGGCCGCTGTGTGTTAAAATGTCTCTCGTGAGTGCTGTTCTTTCGTAAACCCACCAGATGCCGCTGTCGACTGACTGAATGATTAAATGGGCAACCCCCCAATAGAACGACCCACCGTCCTCCTTCCCTAACCCCAACCAATTTTACAGATTGACCCACCCGCTCGCTTACTTCCCTAAAAAAAAAAAAAAAGAAAACCCCTTGATTTTTACCACGTTTTCGGACACATCCCCACCCTGTTGTTCACTCGTTAGTTTTATTTTTTTGGTTTTGTTTTTGTCTTACCTGATTTCTGGAACTGCTCTTCCCTGGACTTGAACCCGGTTGTGGTCATCGTCAACTCCTCTTTGCATCTCAAGTCCGGCGACGTACACGACGAGCTAACTGGACAAACGGTTGCGATGGGAAAGCCTTCCACATGGAGGTAAGCGGTCAGCCGGTAAGCGACAAAAGGAACTGCGTCATACCTCCCCGTAGCATTTGCTTAAAAATGAAATGCAGCCATACGTACATCCAGCTAAATATTTTGCGGTCTCCAGAAACGTCCGCGGGACTACGTTTTCAGAATGAGCCTGTGTTGACTTAATCAGTTTGTCTTCGTGAATCTTTAAAAGCTTCAGTTTTTGGGTGAATAGACTTTCAGTTAAAGGACATGATTGTATCATATTTTCTGAAAATGATTGGTAACACTTTACAATATTGTTGTATTTGGTGATGTTACTTAATATATTTACTAACATTATCGTAAAGTGTGACCAGATTATTTCCATAGTCTGATTAGCTAGAAATGACATAAGGTGGAGCAAATGATGACAGAATTTTAATTTTGGTGAACAAATCCTTCAAGCTGCGACCTCAGGCAAGTGTTTCAGCTCACGGTTTGCAGCAGTTCCATCGATGCCAGTGTTTGAGTCCTCATTTCTCTTCACAACCTAATGTGGCTGTCCAAAAAAAAACAATTACGTATTCTAAATTAAAACGAACTAAATCTCTTATTTTCTTTTAATGGGATTTGATGTTGAGACATGTTCAGAACAGGACTTATTTTTTACAAAAACCAAAGATGAGACAATATTGTCAGGTTGATAGTTTCCAACCTCAAATTGTCAGTCTTAACTTTAACCCTCAAACAGCGGAGAAGTGTTTTGATTTTGATCCTGCTGTGGTAAAACATGATTATAAAGCACTTGGGTCTAAATGTTTTAGAGAAGGCCAAGCTGTTTATTCAGTGAGTCTCAGCGCACGAATGGCAATCTAAGAATGTAATCGCTGTTTCTGGATTTTAGCACAACCTAAGGAGTAAACCTGACCATCATGTTGTTGTTGTTGTTGTTGTTGTATAGGTGCGAGGATTAATGGAGATATAGAGTCTATATTTATGTGGAATTACAGAGGGCACAATCAATGCACAATTGTCTGATTCCTGTTGTTGGATGTAATTTACCTCTTGATCAGCTTATGAAGAGACTTATTTTGTCCCAGCAGTGGCACAGTCTATTCCTTCACATGACTGTCTGTGGTCTCTTCCCCAAACTGCAGAGATTTCTAGCGCAAATCCTGGACGAACTCTGGAGAGAGAAAAAACATAGTCAGAGCGATTCCATAACCAAAGCTTTAACCAAACCACTCTCACAGGCTTACTGATGACAATGTAAGAACATTTGTTCGTTAAACAAACAAGAAAAGACTATCATTTTAATAAAGGTTAAGAAAAAAAAAGATTCACTCATGTGCTTAAAGAATATCATGTTGTTTACCTTGTTTAGCTATGATGTCAACGATGCTATGCTGGTAGATTTTAGATCCTATTATACGCTGTGTATGAAGCTTATTTTCCTTTTATTCACTTTGGATAAATCCAGTGCATTATGGGAAAGCTGGATTGTGGTGCTCAGGGGTTAAAAAAAGAAGAAAAAAAACTGGTTAAAGTTTTTTTTTTTTTTCCGTTTGTTTTGTTTGTTTTGCCATTGACTTGTAGCATAATTAGAAATAAAGTACTGCTTTCCACTTTAATGTCCAGTTGAGTTTTTCCTTTTGATTTGAAATGATGTAATAAATGTCTTCTTTCAAAACAGCTTCATAGTGGTCTAATATTTAATATTGGTCTTTCATTATAAAACACAGGATGTGCGATAAAATGTGATTTCATATGCACACATTTGCCAAATGTTTTAAGTGAATCTCTTATACTCATTAGGCTAAATTCATATTTACATAATGTATACAATAACTATGTTCATTTTTCATCATGTATAGGGGGTAATAATTCATAAATGTGAGTCGAAACTTTCCGGTGTCACAAGATTCTCACGATTCAAGAAATTCATGTAAAACATGGAGTACTAAAAATACAAATTTGGGGTTGATTTGCTCACCTTAAAGGGATAGTTCAGCCACAAATGAAAATTCTGTCAACATTTACTCACCCTTCACTTATTCCAATGCTGTTTGACTTTCTTTATTCTATGGAGCAAAAAAGAAGATATTTTGAAGTCAGCTGAAAACCTAAAACTAGTACCAATACTATTTGTTTCTTCTACCATGGAGGTCAAGGGTTTTCAGCTTTCTTCAAAATATCGTCTTTAGTATTAGAAAAAATAAAAAGGTTTGGAATTATTTTAGGGAGAGTAAATAGCGAGATGTTGACTTCTTGTCATCACTAAAACATTAAAGATTTTTATCTCAAACTGTGGTCTTTGATGAGTTGCAAATCAATTACTGAAATGCAAGTCAATTACTATTGAGACCATGCATTCACACAGGGCTTCAGCGTCAACACCGAAGACATGTCTGAAGTTTGGGCTAATGTGATTGTCATAGTAGTGTCAGCCAATGAAATTAGTCCGCAATAGTCTACTGTACTGCATTGCCGATCCGTCGGCGCTGCTTCAGTGACATTGCTCACTGAAGTTGGGAAATTCTTAACTTTTCAAGCGCCAATGAAAGCGTCAGCCAATCAGATTGCTGTATGCAAACACATCAGTTCAGACAGTAGCCGATTGTGAACTAATTTCATTGGCTGACGCTGCTATGATGATCAGGTCAGCCCCAACTTTAGACACGGCCTCTATTAAGTGTTGACGCTGAAGCCCTGTGTGAATCGGGCGTTCATAATAGCACTCAGGATCTGTGGATTGAACCACCTCTCAGGTAGTATGCTCGGGCATTCTGTTTAATTGGGGAAACAACAAATTCTCCGAAACTACTTGCCAAGCTTACGATTACATTTCACATTATGAATAACCAATGAAATTAAACAACAACTGTCTATTTAGTTTCATTTTTAAATGTTATTACACAAAATATGCAGAAACTCACATCAGGTCCGAGCCCCTCCCCTGCAGAATTGTCATTCTATAGCAATCGCTGATTGGCTCCTATACTAGAAGGCGGGCTTTATTCGCCATATAGCGATCGCTGATTGGCGATGCTTCATTTGCCATACTGACTGTTACACTTTTTCCCATTCAAAAGTATTCGAGTGACATATCTTGTGTATTCTATAGTTTTTGTGTATATACACTCACTGGCCACTTTATTAGGTACACCTGTCCAACTGCTCAGTAACGCAAATTTCTTATCAGCCAATCGCATGGCAGCAACTCAATGCATTTAGGCATGTAGACCAAGCGGCAACCTCCCGCTCTCCCTCGTGAAGCAAACACGGAAGTAACTGAAACTGCAATTCATCGAAATTATGCTAGTCCTGGCTCCATAATAGAGCAGATTTCTATTGAGCCCACTGTTAAAATGGCCTACTTTACAGCAGAGAAACTGGTACAAAGAACGATTTTGGTTCATATAACTATTATTACCCTTCATGACAACTTTGAGGGGGTGAATTTTTTATAACTCATTTGTTTTGTTTTTATTAAGTTTTATTAAGTCTGCATAATTAAGGGCGTGGCCACTTGAGTGAAAGCTAGGTCTCACTGGTTGCCATCACTGATTAGCTGCTGAATTCATCATATTCATCGTATTTTTCTTTTGTTTTATGAGGCTTTACACAGTCAGGTGTTTTTGGAGATACTTCCTACAGTTATGAGATGATGTGGCATGCTGTGTGCACTTAATTGTGCTCACAACCATTCACGTGGCCTCCATTTCCCAGGTAAGTGAAATTATATACTTATACACCATCTCTATAAATGTATTTGTTTTATTTAAGGTCATTCAGCATTTATATTGTTCTTTAGACCTGTAATACACTACAGAATCTGACAGATTGATTAGATGTAGTCTCTAGAACAGTCATCTGAAGCATTGTCATAAAGTGTTATGCCTGGGTTTCATAAATAGCCTTGTATTTACTAACACAGACTATATATGTGACTATATACATATTTGGAAGTAATTCGCGTTTCCTCCTGTAGAAAAGCTTTGTAAGAACAATGCCTCAATGTATTACAGCAGTGTTTTTAAAAGTCTGAACACTTTATTAATATAGTGTAACACCAAGTACATGTGGTCAGAATACAAACGAGTCGCAGGTAATGAAGTATTAAGTAAAATGCCAGCATGCATCTGTTGCTCCGCTCACACTCTGCCTCTTTGCCCTTGTTCCCAGGGCGGTGCGATGACGCACAAACAAAATGTTGATAGTTGGCCACGCCTACTGATAGCTTCTTTTGGGTTCTTCAGAAACCTGTGGGTGACGTCACGGATATTACGTCCATATCTTTTACAGTCTATGATATAGACATGGTCGAGACCATCTGCTTTCTTGGGCTGGTCTGAGTATTTCAGAAACTGCTATCCATCTCAGAGAATGGTCAAAAAATAGAAATTATCTAGTGAGTGACTACAATTCACAAAGGCTCGCCAAAATTGGACAATAGAAGATTGTTGCTTGGTATTTCTGCTGCATTTTTCAGATGGTAGGGTCAGAATTTGGCATCAACAACATGATATGGCATGCTGTGTGCACTTACTTTTGCTCACAACCATTCATGTGGCCTCTATTTCCCAGGTAGGTGAAATTATATACTTATACACCATCTCTATAAATGTAACCTTTCTTCCCCATTCTTATGCTCAGTTTGATACAAGCATGGATCCCTCCTACCTTGTATCAACAGTTCAGGCTGTTGGTGGTGGTGTAATAATGTGGGGGATATTTTCTTGGCACACTTTGGGCCTATAAGTACCAATTGAGCATCGTCAATGCCACAGCCTACCTGAGTATTGTTGCCATCCCTTTATGACCACAGTGTAGCCATTTTCTGATGGCTACTTCTAGCAGGATAACACACCATGTCATAAAGTGTGAATCATCTCAGACTGGTTTCCTGAACATGACAATGAGTTCACTGTACTCAAATGGCCTCAACAGTAACCAGATCTTAACCCAACAGAGCACTTTTGGGATATGGTGGAACGGGAGATTCGCATTATGGATGTGCAGCTGACAAATCTGCAGCAACTGCGTGATGCTATCATGTCAATATTTCCAGTACCTTGCTGAATCTATACCATGAAGGATTAAGGCAGTTCTGAAGGCAAAAGTGGGTCCGACCTGGTACTAGTAGGGTGTACCTAATAAAGTAACCGGTAAGTGTATGCCTGTGTATGATTTTTTTTATCGTTCACCACTGACCTTAACTTTATTAATCTCCAATGACCACAATTTCAGCTAAAAATATTTAATGTTGAAAAAAATTACATTTTGGATAGAAAAATTTGCTTTTATTGAGTAAATTCAAACTTTTTTTAGGCCAACTATGCTTTTAATTTTTGATCAGCCTGAGATTGCTGTCCACTCGAAAGGCAAATTGAACAACAAGTGTTCATTGAGCGATACGATATACACAACAACAAGACGGCCTTCAGTCTCATTATGTTCATATCAACTCATAATGAGATTGTGTGGAAACAGCAGATGGTCCTGAATTCCAAATAACAGCTGCTCAGAATTATATATCAGTAATTCATTTCCATGGTAAGACAAGAGGAGGGAAACACAAAGAGCGAGCAGTGGACTCGGCTAGACAAAGGTCAAAATCGCGCACTGCAAACGCAGGCAATTAAACTAATGATGCCAGGGGTGTGTGCAGCATTAAGCAGCTAAAATGGAGTAAAGATCGCTTCATTAAGACTCAAGAACCTGATGTAATTAGGAGTAGGGCCAAGATTAGTGTCTGTCAATGGGTTTGCCTGGGATTTGCGGGTAATAGAGTTATCATTGGGGCTCAAGGAGTGTTACATTACACTTCGGAATAAACAAAAACAAATTAGCAGCGTCGTCCAATAATGGGTTATCTTGTCAGGGCCTGACAGAAATCCATGCCCTATAACACAGTGTTAATTTTATGCATCACTGACAAGCACCTCCACAATCAATGGAGGTACTATAAAGTCAGGGAGACCATCAATTCCAGTTCAGGACAGGTAGACGAGCGCTTTTGTGTGCTTAACCGATGTGTATTGGAAGTAAAAGTATTGTTCATTAAATTCATGCACTTTACTTTTTGTAAAAAAATAATAATAAAAAAAAACTTTTGTGACCACCGACGTATTAAATGTCTCAATCCATATAATAATTACAGCATCAATCCGAAATAATTAGCATTGGACTACCTGAATACACTTACTAACAATGTATCTTGTTTTAATTAAAGTTGCATTAAATTAAAGCTATGGAAACATTTAAATGGAAATTCAACAAAGATAGATAGAAAACCAATAAAATCCGTAATGGTTCAGTAGTTTTGGGACATTGCTCCAAAATATTGAATTTAGGTGTAAAAAAAATCACTCAGACTGCTTCTACATACATCTATATAAGAATAATCACTCTCAGCAGCTCAGTTAAAGCGTAGTACCTTGATACTTGTGTATTAAGACAATATATGAAAGTTCCTCATTACTAAATATTGTATTAGTGGTTTTATAAAAATAAAAAAAAGTGGAAGCAATTAGGAACAACAGCAACTCAATCACAAAATTGCAGGCCACATAAAGTCACAGAGCAATGTCAGCAGGCGCTGAGGTGCACAGTGAACAGAAGTCACAAACATTCAGCTGAGTCATTGGCTTCAGACCCCCAAACCTCATGAAGCCCTAAGATTAACTCA